CTACACCGACTTGTGATGTCTGGTATAGTAGTACACTGAAAGAAAGTTCAGGGCGGCCAAATCAAGTCCATAAAGTCACTGAGAGTTGGACTGACGTTTCTTAATAGGTACAGACTACGTGGTTGGGGCCCGTTAGAATATCGTCACCAGTGGTTAGAGACTCTGAATGACAGGATTCAAAATCGTTTGCAATGGCGCATGTCCATCCAATCTTTATCTTCCCCAACTCCTGAAATTCAAACCTCATAAGCCTTTTTGTTTTTATTTCGCTAATTTATATTTTTTCAAATTGTATCTTTGATGCCTGACCTTTCCCATTACCATTGATGCTATTACTTACCTCTACTATTCTGGGATATGACATGACGCCCAAAAACTTCGACCTAAAGGTCTGATCCACAAGACAGTGCAGCAACGTAAGGAGATGCAGTCCCATGGTAGACGGTGACCAACAATTGCTTCATACGCTATTTGTTCCCTCGGGATACTGGAGTCCATGTGCACCATTGATTTGGAATCAGGGTTTTCCCACTCTCCTAAGTGAACCCTCCGTGTCCACCAACTGGCTTAAAGCGCCTGACATTCGCTTTTCGTCCTCTCAATTTCGTAAACCACATCCTTACCGTGAGAAGTTAGTGAGTAGGACTCTCCTGACAGTGGCTGTATACTCATGGCTATATGAGAGCGTTTCGAGAGGGGGCTTTTTCTTATCGGTTGTGTCATACCTTTGTATTTTTTTTATTCAGGTAGTTCAAGAAGTACTGATTGTTCTCTTTTACTTAAAGCTTAATCGATCGTTACAAAAGTCCTTGTTAACTGTTTCGCTGACGAAGGAGGTAAAATATAGCTCAGCATTATTTATTCCGAATATAAAACTTTGTTGATGCTCATAGATTAGTACTCTTATACATATAATAAACTTCCACTTTCATGAGCCAATGCGAAAAGGTGTATGCTTTCATTACTGCAGTATTCATATCACTATGGTTGATTGCAAGTAGTCAAGTATTGTAAAATGGTTTACAAAGATGATATGAGTGTAAAACCCCCACCATTTTCAATGTGGGAGTAACATGATTCGATCCAGCCTTAAACGAATACCAGAAGCACGGTAAAAGTATAGCGTCCCACCGTCTCACGAACTTGTCTCCGAGTCAAAGCTTTCCTAAAGTCAAGTCACACTACTCAATTTTCTGAATTATAGTTTATATTGCAGGTCTCAAACTTGTTACCACATAGTTAAAGCTGAGGTTTTATTCATTCATCTTCAGAAATCCAGGTAACTTCAGTAGGGTTTGACTTAAATCTTTAGTGATTTATTGGTTGAAGTGTTCAGTAGATTAAAAGTTTGGTTTCAACTGTGTTTAGTGTTTTGTAATGCCTTATGTAGGTGTCAATTGTTATACGTTGATACTAAAGAACATTGAGTATTTTCATAGTTTCCGAAATTCAGCAATGGCCGGCAGTCGGTTAATTATAGGCAGTTCATCATATTTGTTCAGCACTACTCGATTGGATCCCATTAACAGTCGGTTATGTGCTGTTAGATTAGAAAGTTCCATCAAAGTGAGAAGAAATCGGCGTGAGAAACGATGTCTTTTCGTCATCTCCGCCTATGCCCCGACAGATTGCAGCCCGGATGCAATCAAGGATGAGTTTTACCACCAGTTATCTGTTCTTCTCCAGAAAGTGCGTTCGACAGATATTGTAGTACTAGCCGGAGACTTGAATGCTCAGGTCGGGCGTCTAGGCACAGAAGAGAGTCGTTTAGGTGGCCGATGGGGACTCGTTGGTCGCAGGTCAGATAACGGGGACCGTCTACTGCAACTTGCACAGACCACAACCTGTTTCTGGCTAGCACTAACTTTCGGCACAGTCATCGCCGATGTGCCACCTGGCGTCCTCCCTCTGCATCTCAAGCCTGGACTCAGATTGATCACATCGCGATCAGCTACCGCTGGCGTGGTTGTGTACAAGACTGCCGCTCCTTTTGGAGTACCTATCTGGACTCTGACCATGCCTTGGTCTGCGCCAATCTTGCCTTACTTTTCAGTGGACAACGAAGTGACCCACAACGGATTGATGTTAGCAAGCTGGTTGCAACTTCTGTTGCAAGTAAGTATCGAACCGAGCTAGCCTCTAGGCTAGCTACCACTCCACCGAAAAGTATAGATGAGCATTGGTTGCAATTGCATGACGCCATGAAAATGGCGGGAACAGTCAGTTGTGGGTTTGCGAAACGTCCCGCTTTTAAGCACTGGGTTTCTTCTGGTTCCTTACAACTCATTGAAGCCCGTCGGTCTACTCCGGGTGACCGTGAGTTTGACCATAAACGAAGGATGTTACGTAAGGAAATTGGGCAAAGCTTGCGTAAGGACCGAGAAGCCTGGTGGTCGAAGCGTGCTAATGAGCTGGAAGCAGCAGCTGCATCTGGTAACTACCGGAAGCTCTTCCAGCTCATCCGAGCCACTGGCAGCAAGAAGTCTGGTGTGAGTGAAACAATCTGCGAGGATGATGGGATGCCAATCACTAACATCCATCGACGTCTTGGACGATGGGCAGAATTTTTCGAAGGGCAGTTCAACTGGCCTGCTGCTCCGGCAACATCGGTCAGACTGTCCTGCCCTCCATGGCCGGTGACGACTGATCCACCAAACGAGGAGGAAGTCCGCAAGGAACTCCAACTCTTGAAGCGTTACAAATCACCTGGCCCAGATGACTTACCTCCGGCTCTTTTTAAAGATGGTGGTGACTTTTTGACTAAGGAATTGACGACGTTGTTTACAAAGGTTTGGGAACTAGAGAGTGTACCAACGTCATGGAATGAGTCGATAGTTGTCCCTATCTTTAAAAAGGGTTCACGTCGTTTCTGTAACAACTATCGGGGGATAAGTCTACTTCCGATTGCGTCCAAGCTATTGGCTTCCGTCATACTTCGTAGGTTGTTCAAAACCCGAGAAAGATTGACTCGCGAGGAGCAGGCTGGGTTTCGTTCTGGTCGAGGATGTATTGATCATATCTTCACCCTCCGCCAAATGTTAGAACACCGCCATACTTATCAAAGGCCAACAATCGTAGTGTTTCTTGACATCAGGGCTGCCTTCGATTCGTTGGACAGGACTGTTCTCTGGGATTGTCTATTGAAGAAGGGTGTGCCTGAGAAGTTTATTAACATCCTAAAGGCCCCATATAAAAACACCTCAGGCAGAGTGAGGGCATACAACCACCTCTCTCCATTGTTCCATTCGAGCAGTGGGGTTAGGCAGGGTTGCCCAATCTCACCATTCCTCTTCAACTTTGCCATCGATGACATTCTGGAAACAGCTCTGATGAATGTAAGTAATGGTGGTGTGGATCTGTTGCCTGGAGAAAGACTTCTCGACCTTGAGTATGCGGACGATATTGTCTTACTGTGCGATAATGCCCAAGGCATGCAATCCGCACTTAATCAGTTGGCAATCAGTGTCCGTAGGTATGGTATGTGCTTTGCACCTTCGAAGTGCAAAGTACTTCTACAAGACTGGCAGGATTCTAATCCTGTACTCACCCTGGATGGTGAGCAGATAGACGTAGTCGAGAAGTTCGTGTATCTGGGTAGCTGCATAAGTGCTGGTGGGGGTGTGAGTGATGAGATCAATGCACGTATAGTGAAAGCCAGAGCGGCTTATGCCAATCTGGGCCACCTTTGGCGCCTTCGTGATGTTAGTCTGGCTGTAAAAGGTCGGATCTACAACGCGTCGGTGAGAGCAGTTTTGCTCTATGCTTGTGAAACCTGGCCTCTCCGAGTTGAGGACGTTAGACGACTCTCTGTGTTCGATCATCGCTGTCTCCGAAGGATTGCTGACATTCAGTGGCAACACCATGTCAGTAATGCAGAGGTTCGGCATCGTGTGTTCGGGCACAGAGATGATAATTCAATTGGTGTCACCATCTTGAAACACCGACTTCGGTGGCTTGGACATGTTCTCCGAATGTCGTCCCAGAGAATTCCACGTCGTGCATTATTTGCCGACTCTGGGACTGGTTGGAAGAAGCGGAGAGGTGGTCAGTGCATGACATGGTGTCGTGGTATGAAAGAAAGCTGCAAAGGACTGGCTTGTGTTGGTCCTTCACGACTCCCTGGTTGGGGTCTGAGAGATGGTGCTACACAGTGGCTAGAGACGTTATCAGATATGGCTCAGAATAGAAGCCAGTGGCGATCCTGCTGTAACCTTCTTTTACTTTCTTCATAAAAAGTGGTTGTGTCTCCCTTACCTGAAAGATTTCTTCTGATTGTACCTTTCCGTTCCCTCGTTACTACCACACTACCTTACACCAATCTCTTCGTTATTGTTCTCTTTTTCTTTTGCGCTCCTTAGTTTTTTTTTCTATTTCTCTTCGAATTCTCATTGTTTTGTGTGGCGCATATATATTGGCGCTCTCTTGTACCAATATTCATGTGTTCAAATAAATAAATAAATTTCGGTTACATCACGTAGTCTTCAAAATTTTATATGTTTTTGTAACTGACGTTCATTTTCTTACTCAACGATTGTCATTCATGTCTTCATGCCCTGGTGCGGCTGAATGTGAGGAGAGTCAGCTCTACCTCTCGAAATGCTCTCATATGGTCATTAGTATACAGCCACTGTCAGGAGAGTCCTACTCACTAACTTCTCACGGTAAGGATGTGGTTTACGAAATTGAGAGGACGAAAAGCGAATGTCAGCCGCTTTAAGCCAGTTGGTGGACACGGAGGGTTCACTTAGGAGAGTGGGAAAACCCTGATTCCAAATCAATGGTGCACATGGACTCCAGTATCCCGAGGGAACAAATAGCGTATGAAGCAATTGTTGGTCACCGTCTACCATGGGACTGCATCTCCTTACGTTGCTGCACTGTCTTGTGGATCAGACTTTTAGGTTGAAGGCTCTGGTTGGTTCTAATTTTCCATTTTTCACCTTATTGTTTTTCCGTATGAGTCAGCATTTCAAACCATTCTTGTTTCTATATCATATTAGGTATTACCTGAGAAGAATACTCTACGCATACATAGTTATTTGCCTCTCAACACTTGCTGGTTTTTATGGAACCCAGAGACACATATTTGTATCACTTCAGACGAAGAGAAAAAACTACATATGTTTCAACTGAAGGTAAGATGGAGTTTAAATTTCTGTGTTTGAAAATCCGGCCACTATTCCTACCTTTCAACGTATACCATTTTCAGCGGAACTCATTTATTTTTCTAAACAAAATTGTGCATGTCACTATCCTTTGTCGCATATCTGATGACTCAAGGAATCAACTGGAAAAACTCATGAGTCATCAGTCCATCGTATTGGCAAACAGTTAGTTTGATAATGTAGAAAATAATAAATGTTAAAGAGAAGATCTTCCTTCATAAAGCCGAAATTTAAATAATTAAAAAAGTGTTTACATGGTATTTGTGTCCCCCATGTTTTTAGAGTACTGTCAAGTTATTTTAACCACTTCAAGGAGTTTTAATCAGATCCAAAATGAATTAGTCGACAAATAAGCTTATTGGAATTCATATTTATGAATTAACCATTTTAATAATGAATAAGAGGTGAATTGTACTACATATTTTATTCATTAGAGTCACATAAAAATATCAAAATTTCATTTTGAATCAATTTTTGTCAATCAGTAAATATTCATATTTGTTTCAGTATTTTCTTTCTCCGAAGATTGTAAACCCACATAATCTTCATTGACAACAGATTGGAAATTAAAGTATTTTTTCGCTCATTAAAGATATTTTTGGACAACAAGGTTACTGCTAATTTCGTTAACTTTTTATTTTAGATTGAAAATCTCCAATAATCTTTTTCCTATCTCATAGACACCCGGCACAATCACAAAAGGACCAAAGTTCCTGTCTCCTACATCGGTAGGGGCCAATGGTGATACCATATCGATTGAACAGAAACACTGTTTTTTAGCTTTATTGTAAGTAGGTTCTTGTACTTTTTAACTTTTCTTTTCAGATATGAGGATTTGTACTTTGGTACTCTTCGCTACGTAAAGCTACATAACGAACCAAATCTTACCCGAACTATTAGTTTCTATACTTTAAAAATGTGAGCATTCTGTTTCTGGAGTTTATTGGATCCCTTTTTATTTTAGAGAAGATCCCATCGTATTGACACACCTCGTAATTTTAGATTTTCAGGGTCCTGTGTCATTCAGTGTATTGGATAACCTGTTCATGGTACACTATCAGAGCAGAAAGGTATGTATATACAGTTATATTCGCTTGTGAAATATTTCACTTTTATTCTCACAATTATATGGTCTCATGCCAGTTACTGCAGTGGTCATTACACATAATGTTCATTGCGTGGACTGGGTTTTCGTTAGATTAATCCTCTAAAAATAGATATACCGGTGGTGTGTTTTACTCGTATTTCTCAATTTAATAATAAAACGATGTCTTGTTATTGGTATTGCTTCCTTGTTTTGTGTAATGAATGTGCTTCAACTAAATACATCAACATAGGTATTGAAATAAGAGAAATCTCGTTTCTAGATGCTGATCCCCAGCTAGTTATTGTTCAACGTTAAATGTAATCATGTTTATCACTCCTCATTTAATCTCCTATATCCGAATCCTTTGTTAATAATATATTATAAACGAATCTTCCCTTCTCAATAGCTAATGGATTAGGGATGTTAAGATGTTGCGCTTTAAGCTGACTTAGATGTTGTGTGTACGTAGTTTCATTAATATTCGATTGCCTTAAGTGTCTATCAGGTGCTTCTCCGTTTGTTAAGTACTCATAAAACATATTTTTCTAAGATAGAAAAGACATGTGGCTAGTCTTGTCTCGCTATCACAATTTTTAAAACGTTACTCTGATCATAATTCTTGCAAGGTAGATAATCCTGGATATGGGGAAGCAGCATCCAAGGAAGATGAGCACTTACAATATATCCCATTTGTCTCCGTTTCCAGATTGCTCCGAGCGCTCGTGATCTCAGAGATAGTCGGTAATCAAAGTGTCTAAGAGAACGAGCCAAAAGAGTAAATCTCTAAAATGACTTTTTATCGACTCCAAACATACCTAGTAAAAACCTTTACGTTTCGACGTATATTGAATGGACATTTTTAGTAACATATTTCAAAACCGTTTACAGATTAGATCTTTGTATATTTTTGGAACTGCGTTTATGCATTAAAAATCTTCATTGTGTATCATATTTCTACATCTTCTATGCACACCGTTGTATTAAACAAGTAAATGTAGTACAAGGTTTCTCGCGTATACGAAATAGCTGACTTAATGTGTTGCACTACTCTGAAGAAGTGGCTTGAAATGAGTCACGGAATGTCGGAATTTAAATGTTTTTTCCTTCTAAGTAATTAAAAAATATATAATCATTTTATTTGTTATTTTGTATGGTTTCTTACTGAATGAGTTTAGGCATCACACTTAGTTTATAAAATTGAGTTGTGTTTATTTAGTCGTATTTTGAATGGCATAATATTCCACTTTTAGTGGATCGTAAAGTAAACATTTTGCCGAGAATTATATGCTTATCATGTTGTTTACGTCTTACACAAAACCTCTAGATTATTATAATGTGCGGTAAAATTGTTCCTTTAATATTGTCAAGATAAGTAAAAAACTACCAGTAGTCCTTTCTAAAAAACTTTATCCATAAATGTAGAGATCACCTGGCTTAATCTACACATTAATTCATTTTGACAAGAAGTTTATACTTTGTGGTATAAGTCACATAATAAATTATTTTAGTTTCATCGTGTCACCTTAGATTAAATATCATGCTTCATTTTTGAATAGATTGTGGTAAAAGTACATACTCAGAAAATGTTTTCAATCCAGATTTATCACTAATCATGCATGTATCTTTTTCCAGATGAATTACTTACAATCTGTCTTTTATCATCTCTGTCAACTAACATCTCTATTGGGCTGCTACCTACAAATTTTCGAAGTTTTAAACTATTGTGAAGTTTCTATTTTTCCCGTATTGTTATTATTTTTTCACCAGGTTACGTCAGTTTTTGATATCGCCCTTAATGGAAGCGTTCGCAATGTAATTCATCATTCACCTATATTACGTGATATTTCGATTGCACCATTCAGTCTTTTCACTAAAAGTGGGTCTCTCCTGCTCAACAATTTCTTGATAAAATGCATATGTTTAGTTGAAGAAGTTTTGTGGAGATTGGTTTGATTTGTGGGTTGTGTTCATCACAGGTTTATCACAACTAAGATACCACTAAAAACCTGGGAGGACTGAATATCTGTTCTATGTGCTGTCTATATTAATGAGTTCGTACTTCAACTTCGACAACAATCAGTAACTTATTTAACACATTGTAAATAAGAGTATTGATTTAGCAATTAAATTGTTCGTAGACCACTTGTAATATAACTAGATAATCGTCCAATTCAATGGAATGAAGTTAAGTGATGATTCGTACAATTAATATAGATGATATAATCGATTTTTTGAACAGATAGACACATGAACAACCACATTATGTAAAAAGTAACATACGAGTTCTGAATTAGTTACGTGAAATAGAACGAAATAACTAATAGGACTAGAATGACGCATTTAGTTGTCACATAATTCTGTGGTATGGTATGTAGTTTAAGTCAGTAGAGTGTGTATTGAGTTGCCATTTAAACTCATCACTGTTAGATCTTAAAAATCTGCGAAACATTTTTATCGATCTATATTTTTTTTGTCACTTAACTTCCATAGCACACACTATTGTACAGTGGTTCAAGAAGTAATATCTACTTGAAGTGGTCCAGATTGTGCTTGTACTGCACTGTCAATTAATAGTAGTATTATAGTACAGAACAAATACATTTTTGTAAATACTCGGTGCTGTCTGTTCTTGGAGTGTATTAGATTAAACATTTTTTATCTGCTTTGATGTTCATCACTTCTACATGCTACGTTTACATATTTTTCTACAAACGTAACTAAACCACCAATTATGGGCTCCTTGCCCTACCATGTATGCTTTATAGCAACTTTTGTCCATATAACCCTGATTTCCGAGGCACTCTAGGAAGATATAAATATATATATTGCATTCGAACTTGAAATTGAGCAGTTCTAGATGACGAGTATACAAAATGTTGGTGTTCAGTGACGTTCATTTTCATATTCGAATTCGGTTGTATGCACTTCATTTTCTATGAATACTCAATGACCAAACTGTAACCATTGAGTATTATAACTCATTATCAGTCATTTAGAAATATGTTAAATGCCGGAGTAAAAAGCTAAAACTACCAAATTTGATGAAATTCGATCATATCTTGTTATAGGTATTCGTATCTCTTAATTTTTCCTTTTATGGGTTGACTTAAGTTTCTAAATGTATCTCACATTGTCAATGTTTTATTACATAATAATCTGCAAATCAGTGTTAATAGCTCTTTTTGGGAACCGTAAACTATCCGCTTAACGTATTTTGATTTTGCTTTTCAGTCATTCCCTCATTATCAACAAACTTGGATGCTCAAATTCCTATCGATTTATGTATCCTTGATATAAATGTAAATCTCATTCTGTCCATTTTCGGTTTTACAATTTGTAACCTTCAAAATAATGAGTTGCTAGGGTTATTTTATTTGCCATGATTCCGTAAACCCTTCAAAGTTACAACTAACCTAGTGGTGTCATTAAGTTTGATTTACTTAACCTATCATCCACCAAATTTGTAACGACCAGAAATGCTCGAGTTTTCGAACCGTAAGCTGCATTACCCAATTTTCTAGTTAGTGACATACACTACTTGATATTGCATGAACATCGTGATTTGGTAAACAAGTATGGTACCAATTTGTTATGAAACAGGTATGAAGGTGTAGATCATACAATATAACTAAATAGTTTTAGGAAGTGGGCTGTACAGTCAGTTTTCGTTCTGGAAATCGAATACAACCAAGGCATAGAAATATCATTTGTAAGGAATATTGAAAATTATAAAACTAATTACCCATCAAAGAATAATGATGTATCCTGTGACGGAAAGAACACGGTTTTACCATACTGGCTAGCTAATTTTAGTACACTCAAACGTGAATTACAGGGTGATAAGTTCAAAAAAACATAAAGAATCGTGAATGTTAACTACCCACTGAGAATCATAGGGACTTCCAACAAACTGGAAACGTACTTCAATCCATAAAGGAACAATTCAAATCAATTAGTTCAAGCAAATGTAGTCAAAAGTGATAAATCAGTATGGCAGCCGCTATAATCAGAGGCCAAAAAAGCACTATCAGCTAAAATGTACCAAAAAGAAATAATACTGTAGAAGAAACGCAGTTGTAAATAAATATGTACCCTAACCTTGTCCTGTATCGAAGATTAAATATGATATACGAAAAATAGATAGATTAGAAGGGAAACCTAGTGATCAAGGTGAAACAAAATACTGATTTCATATATTATGCATGTATGAGGGATTTTCCCACTCTTACATACACACACACAAATACCAAAAAATCTTACAATATTATTGTTTCTAATCATGCTCCTTAATTTTACCATTGTGTAACAAAACTCCTTAACCTTACATATTCTCGCAGATTCAATGAATTGGATTATTCATCTGTGCGGTGTTGTAATTGACAACAGTCTCGGTGAGTGTTATTATTATGTTAAATTATCCGGCAGAAGTTCTGTAACCTATCCGGCAATTTTTTCCTTTCTTGAGTTAACGGAGTGTACTTGAAAAAGTGTAGGTCCTCCGTCCCTTTACGAAGTTGAAAAAGCCATAGGAAATCTGAAACGAGGGAGAGCAGCAGGCCCTGACAGGTTTACTCCTGAGATTTTTAAGGATGGTGGTCCAGTATTAGCAATGAGATTAACTGAGGTCTTAGGTAGAATTTGGGAACTGGACGTAATCCCATCTGACTGGTCTCAATCACTGATTGTGCCAGTCTATAAGAAAGGACAAAAGTCCTCTTGTGACAATCACAGAGGAATCAGTTTGACTAATATAGTGTCTAAAATATTAGCTTCAATAATACTTCGACGCCTAATCAAAGCTCGTGAAGAGCAGATTAGAGAAAACCAGGCCGGTTTTCGACCTGGACGTGGTTGTATAGATCAGATATTCACACTACGTCAGGTTCTAGAACACAGACACACATTCAGACGCCCCACAATGGTAGTATTTCTCGACCTTAAGGCGGCATTCGACTCTGTTGATCGTGAGGTTCTATGGCAGTGTTTGTCACTGAAAGGAGTACCAAAGAAGTACATTAACCTTATAAAGGCTCTCTACTCGAACACAACTGGTAGAGTGAGAGCTTATGGCGAACTGTCATCAGAATTGATTACCTCAAGTGGTGTTCGTCAGGGCTGTCCACTCTCCCCATTCTTGTTCAACTTTGTGGTCGACGTACTTTTAGAGATAACACTCTCCTCATCTAAATTTCCAGGGGTTGAACTTCTACCGGGAGGTTCACTTGTTGACTTAGAATATGCTGATGACATAGTTTTATTTGGTGAAGACGCTGACAAAATGCAGAGTCTTCTGACCACTCTAAGCAACAATGCAAGCATGTTCGGGATGCGATTCTCTCCCTCGAAATGCAAAATGTTGCTTCAGGATTGGGTTACATCGACACCCGAACTAGTGATAGGGAGTGAAGTAGTTGAGTGTGTCGACCGCTTCACTTATCTTGGAAGTCTCATCAGCCCTTGTGGTTTAGTGTGTGACGAAATCTCAGCACGGATACAGAAGGCTCGACTAGCTTTTGCCAACTTGCGTCATTTATGGCGTAGGCGAGATATCCGTCTATCAACCAAAGGACGTGTTTACTGCGCAGCAGTTCGTTCCGTCCTACTTTATGGCAGTGAAACATGGCCGGTAAGAGTAGAGGATATCCGTAGGTTACTAGTATTTGATCATAGGTGTCTTCGAAACATTGCTCGTATATCATGGGACCATCGAGTAAGTAATGCAGTTGTTAGGAAACGGGTACTAGGTAAGGATGGCAAATCAATTGATGAAGTAGTGAAACTTCATCAGTTGAGATGGCTTGGACACGTGTTACGTATGCCCAACGACCGACTGCCTCGACGTGCTATGTTCAGTGGTATAGGAGTAGGTTGGAAGAAAGCTAGGGGCGGCCAAACCAAAACATGGCACAAGTCCATGAAGTCACTGACAAGTGAACTGAGTCATGTTGGTAGGTGTAGACTACCTGGTTGGGGACCGCGAGATGATAGCAACCGATGGTTAGAGACCCTGAATGACATGGCTCAAAATCGTTTGCAATGGCGCAGGTGCATCCACTCTCTGTGTTCTCCCAAATTCTAATCTTCTGAATCCTTCATGTCCCTTTTTTCCTCTTTCCAAATTTATTTCACTGGATTATACTCTTTAAATAACATCTCCAAACCCTAATCTTCCCGATTACTGCTTATACTCTTATTACCTCTACCACTACGGGATTTGAATCGACAACTGCATCTCTGTGCTAATGTGGTGTGGCAACTCGAACTGATGTACGTACGTACGAAGCTCTACTTTGTTAATGACTGACTGACTGAGTGTTTTCTCATCGATGTCCCATTCGTCAGCATACTCGTTGCAAACAGAAGTATGTACATTCTTCATCGGTAGCAAAAATTTAGGATAAATGTATAAAAATTACTTCATCAACAATTAGGTACTGGATTCGAATTATATTTCAACAGCTCCGGTTTATGTCTTCAACCCATTAGATGTAGCTCATTCTGGTGTTTGAACACACTTGTCGTCATTATGTAGATCTTTCACTTCATCAGTGTGTTCTAGTTTGTCGGAGTTAACTATTCCCTAAATAAACTAATTATTCCTTAATACGTCCGTTTAAGTATATATTTATCTAGATTGGATATTCAAGCATTTTTGTAGTTCTTTTGATTGTTTTCGTTCAAACTCTTCTTCTAGGTTGCTCATGGCTGTTATGCTTGAATACTATGGTTTTTCCAAAACTAATTGCTAACCACGTGAGTTTTGTTTGTCTATTTTTGTCTAAAAAGACCTTCTATAGATTTTTCACTAAGGTGCTCGTCTTAATAGTTAATTGATTACTGATTTAACATAATTTTCGTCCACTAAAGGCTTATGCATTGAATTATTTGGAACATCTTTGCAATTGCGTTTAAAGCTTTTTACATATTACTGGTAGATTATTTATGGATCTAATGTTGCGATCTCCTTTGTACGATGTTTCTTTTCATTGTTAGTAAAAATTCTGTTATTTGTTAACCTTCAAACCCATTGTTAGCTGTTCATAATTTTTAGGCTACTTCACTTTTGTCAATCATAATGAGGCCACTTTCTCACCCAAATATTTCGTCTATATTTTCCATCATGTAAATCACTAATAGTGGTCAAATTCACAGTGTTCTGTTGCTTTACGTAAGTCAGTTCCGTAGTACCCTCTTTGTAAAGTGATAAACACACTAAGTATTCTATGCTTTCCGAAGCAGCTCATTTTGTTTCCTGATCAGATTCTCACCATGCTTAAAATTCACAAGATATTTTACTGCGTCAGGTTGGTTTGAACAGTTTTTTTGTATGTCCAACTATTCGTTCTTAGCGTCTTTGACAAGTGTTCGTCTATGTAGGATATTTACATACTTTCTAGTGTTCACTAATTCTCGTTTCCTTGGTGTTATAAGTAAAGCGGGACAGTTTTTTTTAACATTTTCTAGATGAACCACAAGTCATTGTAAAGCGTTCTAGTCAGTGAAGTTTACTTTTTCGCTTATCTATATTGAACTGTGTATTTCTATAGGCGGAATAAGGTCAATAGTTTAACATCCTGTAATACTTAGTGATTTCTTTATTTGGTAAAACTAAGAACATTGATTATTCAATATGTGTGTTATTACTTTACAGAACCTAGTTGTGGATTTTCTACTTCATCGATCCAGTGGCAAAAGTGTACTGTTAGAGTACTGCTCTAAATTGGTGTTAGACAGTATTGAAGAGGTTACTTCCAATGTTGACAAACCTCTGAACTACAAATTCGATGGATATGGGTTGAATCAACGACTAGATCAGTTTGCGTTCGTCTTTAAACGGATTTGTGAAGTGGGCTACTGTGGGACAAACGTCATGAGTAAATTGCTCACTGATTCTGATCGTAAAATGCCAAGTGCTTCGGAAGCATCATGCCATTGTTCTATAGTTGTGAGTGATGCTTTAAATTCAATGTGGATAAATACATTTTTATTGCCAATACTTCGAAGACTTTACTTGAATCGTATTCAGCTCCCGCATATTTTCCTCTATTGTACCGATTTAATTCAGGTAGTTTCATCACACATAAGCCACTACCTCAAACACATCAGAAATAAAACTTACGATCCCAAATCGTTCACCGGTGATGAATGAAAAAAATAGACATTTTACTTGTGGCCATTTGCACATTTTTCAAATATTGCAAATGAAACTGTTCAATAAACACCAATCACAATTTATTTGTTTTTTTATTCATATTTCTTCACTTATGATCATAGTTAGTTTGATGAGTATTCATAAAATGTCATAGGTGATAAAATTTGGAGGTAACATTTTAAAGGTTATTCATTTCTCTATTTTAGATGCAGCTATAACTTTCCGAACTTTAGAGTGTGTTGGAATATGACTGGTCACCGATGTTTATATACGTTTTTAATTAAATAGGTTTGATTTTCAGGTAAATGTTTAAAGTAAATAGTTAATACATCAACTAATTAGGGACTGTTCTCTCAGATAGTAGGACATTGTTTGAATCAAACCAGGGGTAGTTATCCATTCTTCTGATGACCCTGGTTTAAGCAAACTTTACTGGTTCAGTATGAGAAGGTTTTCTGTTTAAATGTATTGGAAAGCAGACTTTAAGATTTACTACTTCTTTATATAGATATTTTTGTTTTTTCATTTTGTTGCTCACACTTTTAAAAGGACTTCAAAGTTTTCATATTTTCTTTCGACAGAAGACAATATCCAAAGGCGTACATGCGGGTTCGTCAACCTACATCATTTCCCAACCTGAAATATATTCACATTTATTTTTAAAGAACCAAGGTGTTGAGGTAAATGAGTTTGATTAGTTTTCGAACTCATACTAATTAAAATAATATTGTTCAAACCTGTAAGTCTTTATTTAATCACCGGCCATTCACCTTTGAGCGAGAGAATATACGGTTTTCTATTTTGTTATTAGGCTTTAAACGGAACAATGAATATATTTCTGTGATGAAAACCGGTTACATTTTAAATTTTCCCGCAGAAAATCAAAGCGAAAGTTTTTTATGACCATCCAAATATATATGAGGAATTCTGATGCAGACACTTAAATATCTAATTTTTCAAATAAGATTTGTCATGTAACTGATATCTGTAAACAGTTAAGACAAGAATTTAGGTAGTGATGTTTCATGAGATAAGCTGTTAAAATATCACCAGTTACCGGTTTTCATGACGTTATCTTACTTTTTGTCACATGTTTATAGAATATTGAATTGTTTCGTAAAAATGTGGTAAACATATCTCAAGTTATTTGGTATTTTTTAGTTAATGTTATTATATCCGAGCAAAGATTAAATCACGAGTAACTTCTGAGATATTAATTGACCAATATTATCTGTACATTCCTACGGTATAACTATTCAATAATTAGATTATGTATATTTATATTCCTCTTATTATAAGCTTTATTTTGACCTATAATTTATTATTGTACGATTTACTGTTCTTAAGCTATGTTCAGTTTATTGACTACTGCCTCCCACGTTCATAGTCACTTTTTGGCTTTATTGTGCACAAATGTTATTTCCTATTTTATGGTGCGTTGCGGTCTGTTTGTTTGATATATAAACCCAGTATGTCTGAAATAAGTAATTCGATCTGATCCGGTTCGATTCGCATATTGGAAGCTGGTATTTAGTGTTCTGGACTCAAGTGGACGGGCTAGGCGGACATAGGACCAATAAGGACACTAGACTTCCCTCACCGGTCGAACGTCATTGGTTTGGCACAGTGCTAAGATTGTATAGGTCGTATTTTGATTGGTGGGTAAATCACGTGATAAAAGCCGAACATAAAGTCACAACAAATGTAAAATTCCTTTTTGTAACCATAATCTGTGGTATATTTCTCTGGTGCATATCTTCGTATTGATTTCGCTGTTCTCTGATTGGATTTTACCACTTCTATTTCGCTAATTTTACTGTCCCAAGGTCATGTTTGTTGCTATATGTTCAAATTTGTTCTCGTTGAACATCTAGCTTTTTTTCACTCCTGCCTTCTTGAGTTTCATCATTTAGGGATTATGGTTGAAGTGTTGTGCGTAACAGTTCCCGAGTCATCGAGTTCAGAACAATTTTTGTTCCTATTACGGAAATTACGATTGCTCTTAATTAGCATTAACCGTAGACGTAACCAAACCAATCTCTAGATAAAACGTGGAGTAGTCAGTTTTTTTTTAAAATTTTGCTTAGAGTTTTTGTGGTGAGGCGTCATTCTGTTGCAATGAAATTGTTGTAGACCTTTTCAAGCAGAAACTGAGCCAAAGAAATAACTTGTTTTTCTCCGTCTCTTTCGGTTTACGATCCATTAGCATAGTCCTAAATCAGTTAATACTACTATCCGAGAAAAGACTTCGCTATTCACTTAGTGTATCAATTACTTTTATTTGTATCTATCTGAAAAATAGACCTTTCATCTCTCTCATAACCGTATTACGTACTAATCAAACAAATATATTCAAGCTGTATATCCCAAAACCAAACTTAAGTGATAACGCTTTTTTTCTGTTTTCTTACTATTGTTCACATAAATCAATAGTTTTTTATTCTTGTCCCATTAGTTACTTGGCTTTGATTATTGTGCTTACTAATATAGTGTATCTACTGTTCCACTTGTAAAGCTTATGAGTTACAGAACTTGTTACTACTACATTTAGTTCATGCATCTTTCTAATGATTCGATTCTGTGTCCAGTTAGATAAAATATCTTATTCTTGGACGGTGTTGCTGTTTTAAAATTTTCCACCCAGTATCCTCTAAAGGAACAAATGCTTCAGACTGTTTTCACTTCTTGTTATAACTTGTGGGTTTGTGCCCCTATCAATGTATAACGTAATGATACCGCCAATTAGAGAACAGTGATCTATCAACCGGACCAATGACGCATAAACCTGAACGAGCAGTCCAGAGTCCTTATTGGTCCAGCTTCCTTCCTAGCCCCACCTGTTAAGTCCAGAACACCAATCTCAGCCTCTGCGACATGAATCATGTATGTCAGACATACTGGGTTTGTATACAAACCAAACAGACCACATCGTACCATAAAATAGGAAACAACATTTGCACAAGATTTAGCCAAATTCGGTTGTGAATGTAGGAGACTGTAATTGATAGACTGGGGATAACTTAAGAACGGTAAATTGTATAACAATAGTCTATGGGTCAAAATAAAACTCATAATAAGAGGAACATGAATATGAATAGTTTAGTTACTTAGCAACCATACAATAAAAATATGTGTATAGTATTTGTCCAGAAATGCATTCCAACAGTTACCATTCATTATTCTTATTGGGATATAACACTTCTGTGTTTTTTTTTTCGAAATATCCTAGCTTTCAGATAATTATTCAAACCATAAATAACTTCTATTTTGTAAACTTATTTTGAATGCAACTTAATGAATGCTTTGCTGGTCTTTCTTATTTATAGAGACTAGAAGTCCGTAAATTGTTTCGCTCTATACTGATTGAATATATTCGCATATTTTCAGAGCACGACATTTGTGTAGATGTGAGTATCATCAATTTTAAGTGTTATAATTAAAATAGTTTTATCTAGCTAAACTTGTTAGTTGCACCATATAGAATTATGCTAAGTAGAGACATGAAGTAAGAAAAAATGAATACAACTGTACTTACAACATTTGTATCGTTAGATAAATATATATAATTATATCTCAAATGAACCCATATTTACTGTTTATAAAAGCTTATGTTTCCATTCAGTGTTTTTGACAGATTCTTAATAAATAAGTGATGGTAACCTCTGTCAGTGGTCAATTACCACCTGGCATCATAACATATTTACGGAATTTATTTTCATGGCTATGTTCTACAATTATGAACATTCTAATAGAAAGATTAACCACTCTTCAGATAAAAGGCGATATATGATTTTTTTCGTGGGATACTCTGGGACTTTTGCTGCAAAACTTTTTTTCTCGCTCCACAGAGTTTTCATCTCACTATTTCGGATTTGCCAGTCAGCTGCCAACGTTGACTGTTCATATACGAGAAGTAGGAATTTTCAGGAAGATACTAAAAGGTTTTGACTTGGCAGTCCTCGAAATGCAAAATGTTGCTTCAGGATTGGGTTGCATTGACATCCGAACTAATGATAGGGAGTGAAGTAATTGAGCGTGTCGATCGCTTCACTTATAGTATTTCCTAAGACTTTTCTCAGTATCATCCTAAGCTGTTTTTTTATCAATACATATCAATATGATGTGTTTCATGTCCACTGTTTATTTTAAACCGGAATTAAGAGAAAAAGTAGACCCTTGTTATGCTCGTGACTAAATGATTGATAGCGAAATATGATTAAAATTCCTTATGGAATTTATGTTATGCCAGTTAAGGTTGTTTACTTCTAAAAACTACTAGAAATAAGAAGCATCGAACAGTCGTTTAGCTTTCTCCTTTAAATCCTCATTTTTGTCACCTCAAGAGAAAATCAGACCCTGCATTGGTTACGTTACAGTTTACTCAATGGATCGGAATCCAAAGAGCTACATTTACCAGTTTCACATATCTTTTGTGTATTTTCGGATTGTGACTAGCAGTGGAGTCCAGGGTGCACATCTTACCCTATGTATAACACGTTATATGGACAAATTAGCATCCTAATTTTTACATGTACACTGAAATTCGGACTAAATATCTATCTCTTTGAATACCAACGAACGAGTCCCAGCTTGGAAAAAGTACACGTCACTGATTCCACTGCCAGTCACAACTGAAAAGCATATCAGAAACGTATATACTTTTGGAATACTGGAGTATCCGTGTGGGTTGCATGTATGGTAACAGAGATTGCTCTGATAAAATTCGGAATGTGAACAGCTCAAAAACATTGATATCTGAAAATTCGTCACATACGTTGTCACTATTATAACGTATTATAATATGAATCGACAGTGATACTTTCTAATCTGCCTTAGTTATATGTTTTGTCTATCTTAAATTCCACGCCAGATGTTTTGAATGTGAAGTGACCTTTACACTTCCAAATTCTCATCACATAATGAGATGAATCTGCACTTTTTTTCTCACATTTAAATCTTTATTGACGTTTTTTTCGAAATAATTTCTTTTCAGCATTGTTTCTACGAAATGCTCGTCAACCTCACCGCCAGAGTGGGAGATTATACACAACTCAGTTTTTATATTCAAAGTCGTCTACTTGCTGATTCAAAGCCTACCGTAATACCTTATCTTATGAAAATGAGAATTTTGAGTTATTGGTTTTCTGACTCGTTGTGATTTGTTCGTAAATAGTTGATTGATTCTAGCAATTTACTATTTCTTCCAATACGTATTTGTAGTTCGTCCAAGATTCCATCTGTTTATTGTCATGGTAACCACTTTTTGTAATTTTAGTTCTAACTTATTGTTGATTAATCTGCACTAGCTGTATCTTAAGGAACACTCTGGACGGTTGTTAGTAATCGCTTATCGTAACTTAGTTAATGAGAGTAAATTCAGATTAGTTAAATTTTATTCTTCAATGTATTTTGTTAACTGTAGTATTTATAATCACCAAGCATAAAGTGCTTTTTGTAGCGTACGAATATTTGATCGTGTTGAGAAAAGCAAAACAATTTTATGGTATTTTCATGACATTATTCATAGCTTTAACCTTTGTAACCAGAACGTGTGTTTATTCCGTAATTCTATGCAGGGGTTAGCTATTTTTTATTTCTTCTGTAGCCTATGTACATCATATTTTAAAGCTGAAAGTTTTAATTCTTGAGAAAACCTTTAGATGATGTTCTGTTTTATTTTCCTCATAGACGACTTACTAGTTGGGTCCACTTTGCACTTTAGAGACCAAACGTTTGCTAATTCTTAAAATCATTTTTTTCTGTTTCATAGAAATTGACCATATCTTGTTATCTAGTGTATGACTTTTTGTAGGCACTTCAACTGCTTTCTTTGGAAAGTGTGTATCCCGCAGCAGGACAACTTGGTATTGATATGCTAAAGGTAGGTCACTAATCCACTTTTTGATTACATGAGCTGAAGTCAATAGCGATTGTATGTTGAAATTAAAAAAAACAATAGAAGTTCACAACTCATTCCGACTTAACATCTTTAGTACGGTCCTCCAAAAATGATAACGCTCTCATCAAACGATGATCTTTTGACAATGCAACTATTAACCATCTAACAATAATAGTTACTCTCATTCTTGAATTTATTTCACGCTAATGATAACAGTCTGCTTACCTCAAACTGAATGTCAATCCGAAAGCTGTAAACAACTGACTAATAACCTCGTACTGTTTTGTTCAGTCTGAATGAAACTTAGGTGATTATAATTATTGTTTGTCAGAAATTAATCTAGAATAGCAGCCAAGAAGCATTCCGTTACCTGAAATTAACTGATCACTGTTATCACTAAGGTTTATTTCAAGAATTACCTTAAAAATATTTGTCAGTAAAATTCAATAATTAGGTTCTGACGGATGCACAAGTTGTTTTAGTCGATCCACACTTTCTGAGCAGGATGATTTAGCCGTAAAGGTTACATTGCATTAGGTTCACCGGAACATCACATTAAGAGTCGATGAAAATCTAAGAATCTCGCAGCTTCTCAAAAATCTATAAATCTATATTATATGGTACTACAGTAAACAATAACTGGTTTACGTAACACTCAAGGTGATAAAATCAGCAAAACATTTAGTACTCAGTAGAAACAAGGGTAAAATATAACGAATTCAATATAGCTGTAGGTATACAAAACCCACCAACCAATCGTAAAGTAGTTAATTTACAACCAACGAATGAAATATTAGGAAGAAATTGGTTCGTCACTAATAATATTTTAGTGCACATATGTAATATATTGCTTGACTTGACAAACTTCAAAAGAATTTGGACTGTTAGAATTTATTGTCAAACTTTGTCATCCGTTTGTTGGTATATTTTTATTAATAGTGTTGTAATTGTTTATTCATGTAACGATCGCTACTGGAATTCTGACTTGAGATTTTAGGATCGAATTTCTGTGTCAGTACAAAATTCATATCGCATTTAAGTTCCTATGCACAGATTGTTATAAAATTGTGAAGAATTAGATTGTCCCGATGATAAAAATTACTTGTGTTGGCTGTTAAATATTTTAATTTCTCTTTATATTTTTGTGTTTATTTTCACTAATTTTCTTATCAGAGATTGAATACATGCAACACTGAATTGTTCGATGCATTACTGATAAAAGGACGGCCATTAGAGGCGTTAAGGTAATCAGTTTTCCTCCAAAAGTCCACGTCTTAGCTTTTTGTTTAAGACGAAATTGGAGTTATATATATTAGAGTCTCATGTTATTAGTATATTCTACATCCCCGAAACTCTCATGCAAGATCCTGGCATGATCAGTATTATGAACTGGCTCAATTCACCCTCCGTATATTTGGGGCCTTTTTGTATAAATTATTGTTGCTTCGTCGAGATAGTCATAGGATTAAGAGCGAAGGTAGTACAGGCTCTCGTAGACTGAATTTCAGTAGACAGTCACTTGTGAACTGTTCAGTTAAATGGTGACGTGAAACCCGGAAGAATAGAGATACACACCCTTTCCTTTTCATATTCTCAGTGTCTATGCTTTCTCTGGCTGTAATCCTAATAAATGAATTTTACAGAAAGTTCTCTGCTCTTCTAACAGAATCTAAATACTCAACCATAGTAATCATAGCATTTAATTTTATTACTTAAGTAGTTTGGCTGGACCAAGCTAAAAGACACCTAGGTAGACCTTTCGTTGTCCCAGCTCAGTGAACGAAAATAGATAACCATCTACTGCAACTACACACACCCAACAACTTTAAACACATGAAGAGACATCGTCTGAGACGGCGACCCACCAAGATTTATTCAACAATGAGTACGAATAGATCATATTGCCATCAGCCTTTTTTGAGAGGCTCTGTAGAATTCTGGCACTCAATCACGAACACTTACCGACTCTAATCATGTTCTAGTGAGAGGTCATCTTTGTTCGCATTTTACTGGACTCGAAAAGTGACAACTGGAAGACCCATTATGGTCCACCTCAAAGACGAAACGTCGAGAGGATATTGTAGGAACAACTAGAGATGCAATTAACGATGTTCACTTCCATGTAAGTTTCATGATATCCAAATAGGTGTGAAAACAGCAATGACATTTACCCGTGGATTGAACCAAAAGGTTAAGAAATATAAGTGGATCTCTATGGTGGTTACTAAGTAGTTGGTAAACTCAAACTCATCTCATCAGTCTCTGAGTACTATGAAAAACGAAAACAACCTAATTGTAGACTAGCAAATAGTCTAAGCAATGATTGTCAAGTGTGGCGGCCAACGAAAACAAATTAGATGGGAAAAAGTGGCAGTGGTTAATGGTTGAAAATTTTTCAAGCTTATTGAAGAAATAGGTAGTAAAACGTCAGGTGTTAGTGAGACTATCGTCAAAAAAGACAGAACTCTGATCCTCTTTCTACTGAGACAGTTGAATATCTGGAAGTACCTCTTCAAGTAACCTTTCAACTATTTTCTTGGTACTTTTCAGTTATCCACTATTTCCAGATAGCCTGAGAGGTAGAGCGATATGTACTTATGACTCCGAACGAAGTCCCCTAAATGCCCTGGTATGGCCGAGAGTGGGATGGGCCCTCCTTCCCTCTGGAAACGCTCTCACACGGCCACGCATATACAGCTTCTGCCATGGAAGTCCTACTCACTGCCTTCTCGTGGCGGGGGTGTTGTTTACGAAAATGAAAGGACGAAAAGCGAATGTCCGGCGCTTTAACCGGATCCCAAACCAATAGTGCACATGGGCTCCAGTATCCTGCGGGAACGAATGGCGTATGAACCAATCGTTGGTCACCGGCTACCATGGGACTGCATCTCCTTACAAAGCTCCACTGCCTTGTGGACCAGACCTCTAATTCAAAGGCTCGGGGTGTGGCCCCCTAAGGAAACCACCTGCTTCGGTCTGGGCACCCGGGCAGTATCGCAGCCCACATACAAATGATGAACTCTTTATGTCTATGGAAATTACTTTTGTCGCTTTGAAAAACAAACAATTGATTCAAATTATTATCATTACAATTATTGTCATTATTAATACTAATATTATTATTACTACTATTATTGTCATTATTGTTATTATTATCATTATTATTATTATTTTCCACATTATTCACCCTCTTTTATACTTATACAGCGGCTCGTCTTTGGTGGAATTCCGACTGTATCTAAACGTTCTCGAGTCACTGTCCGGTTGAAAATTGTATGTTACCACCGAATACGAGGACTGAAGCAGATTTTCTGAAACCACGTGCACCATTCAAACTGGCTGCCTTCAACGTTCGCACATTTATGCAGGTCGGACAACAGATAGGGCTGGCTATGTCTTTGGAAAGTCTTAATATCGACGTGTGTTGTCTATCCGAGACCCGTATTCAAGACTCTGGCGAAGTACTACAAATTCGATCTCCATCTGTCGCTTCGAAAAGCTTGTTTTACGTGCGCTTATCCGGGGACCCTGTGGCATCTTCGTCTGGTCTTGCTGGCGTTGGTGTCGCACTAAGCGCTAGAGCTGAGGCAGCACTAGTCGATTGGATCCCCATTAACAGTCGGTTATGTGCTGTTAGATTAGAAAGTTCCATCAAAGTGAGAAGAAATCGGCGTGAGAAACGATGTCTTTTCGTCATCTCCGCCTATGCCCCGACAGATTGCAGCCCGGATGCAATCAAGGATGAGTTTTACCACCAGTTATCAGTTCTTCTCCAGAAAGTGCGTTCGACAGATATTGTAGTACTAGCCGGAGACTTGAATGCTCAGGTCGGGCGTCTAGGCACAGAAGAGAGTCGTTTAGGTGGCCGATGGGGACTCGTTGGTCGCAGGTCAGATAACGGGGACCGTCTACTGCAACTTTGCACAGACCACAACCTGTTTCTGGCTAGCACTAACTTTCGGCACAGTCATCGCCGATGTGCCACCTGGCGTCCTCCCTCTGCATCTCAAGCCTGGACTCAGATTGATCACATCGCGATCAGCTACCGCTGGCGTGGTTGTGTACAAGACTGCCGCTCCTTTTGGAGTACCTATCTGGACTCTGACCATGCCTTGGTCTGCGCCAATCTTGCCTTACTTTTCAGTGGACAACGAAGTGAACGCCATCAACGGATTGATGTTAGCAAGCTGGTTGCAACTTCTGTTGCAAGTAAGTATCGAACCGAGCTAGCCTCTAGGCTAGCTACCACTCCACCGAAAAGTATAGATGAGCATTGGTTGCAATTGCATGACGCCATGAAAATGGCGGGAACAGTCAGTTGTGGGTTTGCGAAACGTCCCGCTTTTAAGCACTGGGTTTCTTCTGGTTCCTTACAACTCATTGAAGCCCGTCGGTCTACTCCGGGTGACCGTGAGTTTGACCATAAACGAAGGATGTTACGTAAGGAAATTGGGCAAAGCTTGCGTAAGGACCGAGAAGCCTGGTGGTCGATGCGTGCTAATGAGCTGGAAGCAGCAGCTGCATCTGGTAACTACCGGAAGCTCTTCCAACTCATCCGAGCCACTGGCAGCAAGAAGTCTGGTGTGAGTGAAACAATCTGCGAGGATGATGGGATGCCAATCACTAACATCCATCGACGTCTTGGACGATGGGCAGAATTTTTCGAAGGGCAGTTCAACTGGCCTGCTGCTCCGGCAACATCGGTCAGACTGTCCTGCCCTCCATGGCCGGTGACGACTGATCCACCAAATGAGGAGGAAGTCCGCAAGGAACTCCAACTCTTGAAGCGTTACAAATCACCTGGCCCAGATGACTTACCTCCGGCTCTTTTTAAAGATGGTGGTGACTTTTTGACTAAGGAATTGACGACGTTGTTTACAAAGGTTTGGGAACTAGAGAGTGTACCAACGTCATGGAATGAGTCGATAGTTGTCCCTATCTTTAAAAAGGGTTCACGTCGTTCTTGTAACAACTATCGGGGGATAAGTTTACTTCCGATTGCGTCCAAGCTATTGGCTTCCGTCATTCTTCGTAGGTTGTTCAAAACCCGAGAAAGATTGACTCGCGAGGAGCAGGCTGGGTTTCGTTCTGGTCGAGGATGTATTGATCATATCTTCACCCTCCGCCAAATGTTAGAACACCGCCATACTTTTCAAAGGCCAACAATCGTAGTGTTTCTTGACATCAGGGCTGCCTTCGATTCGTTGGATAGGACTGTTCTCTGGGATTGTCTATTGAAGAAGGGTGTGCCTGAGAAGTTTATTAACATCCTAAAAGCCCTGTATAAAAACACCTCAGGCAGAGTGAGGGCATACAACCACCTCTCTCCATTGTTCCATTCGAGCAGTGGGGTTAGGCAGGGTTGCCCAATCTCACCATTCCTCTTCAACTTTGCCATCGATGACATTCTGGAAACAGCTCTGATGAATGTAAGTAATGGTGGTGTGGATCTGTTGCCTGGAGAAAGACTTCTCGACCTTGAGTATGCGGACGATATTGTCTTACTGTGCGATAATGCCCAAGGCATGCAATCCGCACTTAATCAGTTGGCAATCAGTGTCCGTAGGTATGGTATGTGCTTTGCACCTTCGAAGTGCAAAGTACTTCTACAAGACTGGCAGGATTCTAATCCTGTACTCACCCTGGACGGTGAGCAGATAGACGTAGTTGAGAAGTTCGTGTATCTGGGTAGCTGCATAAGTGCTGGTGGGGGTGTGAGTGATGAGATCAATGCACGAATAGTGAAAGCCAGAGCGGCTTATGCCAATCTGGGCCACCTTTGGCGCCTTCGTGATGTTAGTCTGGCTGTAAAAGGTCGGATCTACAACGCGTCGGTGAGAGCAGTTTTGCTCTATGCTTGTGAAACCTGGCCTCTCCGAGTTGAGGACGTTAGACGACTCTCTGTGTTCGATCATCGCTGTCTCCGAAGGATTGCTGACATTCAGTGGCAACACCATGTCAGTAATGCAGAGGTTCGGCATCGTGTGTTCGGGCACAGAGATGATAACTCAATTGGTGTCACCATCTTGAAACACCGACTTCGGTGGCTTGGACATGTTCTCCGAATGTCGTCCCAGAGAATTCCACGTCGTGCATTATTTGCCGACTCTGGGACTGGTTGGAAGAAGCGGAGAGGTGGTCAGTGCATGACATGGTGTCGTGGCATGAAAGAAAGCTGCAAAGGACTGGCTTGTGTTGGTCCTTCACGACTCCCTGGTTGGGGTCCGAGAGATGGTGCTACACAGTGGCTAGAGACGTTATCAGATATGGCTCAGAATAGAAGCCAGTGGCGATCCTGCTGTAACCTTCTTTTACTTTCTTCATAAAAAGTGGTTGTGTCTCCTTTACCTGAAAGATTTCTTCTGATTGTACCTTATCGTCATTACTCTCTTTTTCTTTTGCGTTCCTTAGTTTTTTTTTTTTTCTTCTTCTCTTCGAATTCCCATTGTTTTGTGTGGCGCATATATATTGGCGCTCTCTTGTACCAATATTTATGTGTTCAAATAAATAAATAAATAACGTGGCGGGGGTGTTGTTTACGAAAATGAAAGGACGAAAAGCGAATGTCCGGCGCTTTAACCGGATCCCAAACCAATAGTGCACATGGGCTCCAGTATCCTGCGGGAACCAATCGTTGGTCACCGGCTACCATGGGACTGCATCTCACAAAGCTCCACTGCCTTGTGGACCAGACCTCTAATTCAAAGGCTTGGGGTGTGGCCCCCTAAGGAAACCACCTGCTTCGGTCTGGGCACCCGGGCAGTATCGCAGCCCACATACAAATAAAATGGAAATGACGATAATTACTGAAAATTCTATTCACGTTTCGATTAACAGTCAAACAATTCACATTATTATTATTACTATTATTATTATTGTTATTATTATTTACCACGTCACTTATTCACTCTCTTTTATTCCAACTTTGTGTATCCTTATTTTTCGACTTATACACCAGCTCGCTTATGGTGGAAACTCAGTTCTATCTAAACGTTCTCGGGTCACTGCCTGGTTGAAAATTGTATGCTACCACCAAATACGAATACCGTGTTTAGTGTGGCGAATATATAATTTGGTGCCCTCTTGTACCAATATTTATGTGTTCAAATAAATAAATCTAACGAATTTGTAATGATCATAGCTAGCACTAAAAGAAGGTGAATAAGGGTCTCTAATAGTTTGGTAATGGAGATCCTTAATAACAGGGAGACAATTTTGGCGGGTAAACGGATTGATATATTAGCTTGATATAATCTGATGTAATTAGTGTCGACCACTTCTCATCTTAGCTTATAAACAAGGGCAAAAATTTTCGTGTTATAACCACAAGGTAATCAGTTTGACCTAAATATAGTTTGTCTAGGATATTACCTTCAGTAATCACCAAACTCTTGGAGGGGGCTCGTGAAGAGCGAATTCAAAAACGATGCTGGTTTCAGACCTGAACTTGGTTGTGTCGATCAAATATTCATCCCTCATCAGATTACAAAACACAGGCATATTCCCCGATGTCTGATAATTTTGGTATTTCTCGATCGTAGATCGAGCGGTTTTGTAAAAGTATCTGTTATTAAAAAGCATAACAAAGAAATACGTCGACCTTGTATGAATTCTCTTTTCGACTACTACTAGTCATTAAAATTGATAACACCAATTTGTATTCGTCGGGATTGTCCGCTGCTTCTTCGTTTTACTTAACCTTGTCATTCTCTTAGAAATAACACTTGTCCTCTGATTTTTATGGAACTGAAACTCTTGTCAACGTGGAATATGTAAATGGCATAGTTCTGTTTGGCAATAATGAAAATACAGTCTTTTGATCTTGAGCAATAATGTAACTGCACTTGACATATATCTGCCCCCCTCTAGACGCAAAATATTACTTCAGGACTGGTGCATACCAACGCCTGAACTAATAACTTCCGGATCCGAAGGTACCAAGCTTTCAAAGTGTAGTATTTGTGTATAGAAATTTGTCATGCATATAATTAACTTGCCACCATTCCTTTTCTTTTATGTAAAAACATGCGAGTTTTGGGATTCTTTGTGTCTATAAATATCACTATTAATATGGTTTCCAACCATATAACAATAAATTTATTAATGTTTAGAATGTTTAGTCTTACTTTTAGTTTTTTGAACACTAGGTAAACGTGGGCAGTATATTCTCGTTTTTTGTAACTTGCACAGATTTGCTAGGCTGCATCGCTCAGAAAATGTCATTGACATGGAGAATGTTCGCAATTATTTGGATGCTATTCAACAAATCGAAGATTATATGGAATTATATTGTACTCACCATTTTCTTAAAGAAAGTTCAATGTGTATGGAGTCTTATTGGGACTCAGGTACTTTTTGAAAACTGTTATTCTAAAAGCCTTATCACTTCTAGATTGCTTAGACTTTAAAATTGTCTTGAATTCAAATTAATTCCTACATAGTTAGTCATTCGTTTACCGAGATTTTTAAGGGCTCCGTTTTCAACCGTTAGTTTAGGTGCTAACTATTCAGGAGTTTAGGTTTTTGAATTATTAGGTTACATTTTATTAGGCATTACGTGTGAATACCTCGTATCCCTCGTCAGTAAAACGAAAGATTTACACAGTATAGTTTCTAACACTTGTCACCATAATGTTTATAAATCATTGGTTTAATTTCTAGATAAAAAGGCTTGTGTATAAATTGTTACTACATTTTAAATTAAAATTGAAATACTGCTTCAGCTTATGTAATCTCAAGATTTTAAATAGTTTAGTAAGGATTCCTTATGGACTTAATAAGATCTCTTTTTTGATAATATCATACATATCCGAATCATGAAAATAATTGTTTAATGAATTCAACTAATTGTGGAGAGTTATCACTTATCAAAATTTATGAAACAACTTTACTATCATTACGAGGATTCTTGTATCGTATTTAATAATACTGTACGTAATGTACATTCTCAATACTCGTTAATTTATACATTACAGAGAATGGTATTGGTATGCTAATAACGTGCTTCTCCATATATTTTCACGTTAAAACAAAATAAAATGTCAATTATGTTATTTCTTGATTCAATACTAACTGAAAAAGTATTACAAATATATCATTTAGCTAAAATCTGATTTTATTCAGATCAATGTATATCTTAAAGGGATGTAAGAATAGTTTGGCCTAGGTCTTTACATAGCCATTATAATGCAATCTTGAACACATGAAGCTCTTCTTGGTTATACATTCGCATAATTATCCTTGAGATGCATATCTTCTATCGGTTTTTTTTTTCCAGATGAATGCCGTAAATATTGTACCGAACACTTTAGTGACCTGTTTCCGTCCGCTTAATTTGAACTGCAATTTCATATAAAAGAAAATGAATGTCTTCTTAACCCTTATTCTGTGAACTCGTATAGAAATATATCTTTTTTCTCTTTTCTGTTGTTTCATTTTTGTAAGCGTACTACACCATGATGCATTCAATAAAGTATACGTTGTGTTGAATTTGTAACTTAATAAACGTTTCGTTTGCTTCAGTATGCCATAATATAACGTTTACCATAGTAAAAACTGCTTTTGTCCAAGTAATTTGTTTTCTTGTTGACGACTGTCATGGATCTTAAAAAGTAATCTCACTAGCGCTAATTAAAAGCGTTATGTAACGGGAAGATTGAGATCTCATCGTTACTGATAACAACTAACCTGAAAAATTTGGTATACATAAACGATCTTAACAACATTTTGAATCGTTTCTGTAAACTTAGACCTACGCTTCGTTTGCAGTTTGTAGCTAAATGTTTCACATATTCATTAGAGTGGTCTAAATATTCATTGTTGATAGTTTTGTTTGTAGTTGTTTCTATCGTTAATATACTTGACTCAGTTCATACTGACCTAATAGAATTAGTAAAATTCATTTATCAAGCATCACTTGAACTATATTTTTCTATTTTATTGCTTGAATTCAAACGTTGCAAGTACAAATTCTGATATCAATCTTTGGAAATCGAAATGTTAATCTAGTAAGGTGGGTTAAGTTATTTACTAAAAGTCATCTTACAAATACGCATTGAAATATCTATGATTTCGCTGTGAAATAAATACCCACTCCCCGGTTAAGTGCATTATTTTGTGTTAAGAATTCCGAAATGTAGAAATAAGTGTCCAAAATATCAGATTTATCTGGCAGCTTCCTTCAGGTTAGGACCTCTCGAAATTATCTTTAGAGACTGGAAAAATGCTGCAAATACTTCTGTCTATCAACATTCCTTAAAAATTACCACAAGAACTTTGAAAAACGACAAGTTGTATTGTTTTCCTCCGTTTAGTTAATTATCAGTTTTATCTTGTTTTCCAGAAGCCTCTAGAATATCAAGGCCACGTAACATTTTAAACACCCATATATTATGTATATAAACTAACCTTGAAAGTAAAACTTCTTCCATAATCCCGCTGTTTTGTTTTTTCGTTTCGGGGTTCAAGAGTAGAAGGTTTCTGGAGATAAGTGATTCAAGGTCCAAGTTTTCAAACACTAGACAAATCACGTTATGGTAAAAAGAGCATTTCTGTCTCGTTTCACTGTCTAAATTTAAAATAATTAGAAATAATGACATACCGAATTGCCATCGAATTTTTGTCACGGTAGTAATGTGTGGTCCACTACATTCAGATAAAACACTGCTTTTGAACAGAAAATGAAAAAGGAATCAACTTCATTATTGTTAGGAGCCGGTTATACTATATGTCAGCCGTATTTCTATGTAGCAAGAACGAATATATTCGCACAACATAATGGGAATTTTTTGTGGCATCGTTAAAGCGTAATCCTGATTTCACTCACCAGTTACTAAGTAGCGAGTTTATGCTGAATTATTGCGGTTACTGATAAGGAGTTAACTACGCTGTGTTTCTATTTATGTAGGTTGATACAAAAATGACTTGTCCAAATTAGATACCTAACAAATATGCTACTAAATAACTTAATAAATTGTCGGGATGTGCCCAAATAAAGGAAACGTCTATGTGGTTGGTTGCGTAAATGGGTAAATAGAATTGTACGTACTATTAAGAGAAACCTGTTCCAGTTAGAGGTGTGTCAAATATGGAGTATTATGTCAGATTCAGCATAATACTTTAAACGGGATACTTAGCATTCAGTTTTTCATATGTCAAAGAAGGTCCAATGTAAACTGATCCGCGTCCGAATAACTACTTCCGTTTCTTGACCACTCTTGGAAATATGGAAACCTTTATGCAAAGGCTGCTTCCTAACAGAATATTTCCTTCGAGAACAAGTACTGTTAGGGGCAGTATTTTGTGTTTTAATTCCATTGGCATTACGGACTACATGAGTTTTACCATCACGTGGTTCTATGCACATTTTATCAAAAACATTGTCGTATTCAAGATAATTTCCTTCTGCGATTAAGCTGTTGAACTATACTGATATAGTTTACTCGGATTTCATAGTGATTATAGTCGAATGGTAGATGTATTACTAACTTGTCATTATATTTCAAAAACAAGATAGCTTTCCCAAATCGCATGTATATTTCAAAGTAATTATTTTTCAGATAGTGTCGAGACATATTTTCTCATTGAACTCCAGCGACGTTTTAAACTTTAGAATAAACAACCATGAATCTGGTATATTCTCCTTACTTTTACGCTTATTAATTTTCGCACATATAATCTTAGTTACTGAGCCTATCGCCTAGAATATGTAGAGTTCAAACATTACTCCGATTTCGTTTAATATTATTTTCAAATTTTAACTATCGTGATCCCCTTAATTTTCCTTTCGATGTTTGGTTTTGTCTTTTATTCATTGATCGCTAATATCAGAAAAATAACTGCATTCATCGCTGAAGACCCACTTAATTCTATTTAGTCAACTTTATAGGCTTAAACTACTGGCGCAACTGAGTAATTTTATAATTGTCACTCTAAGTTATTTGAGAAATGTTTAGTCATCAGAAAATTGGATTCAGTTTTGAATTTCGTGTTAAAGTCTTACTAATAAGATCGTGAGATTTTTTGATAGCGGGACACCAGAATTTGAATAGTGTTTCATAACCCTACAATTAATTACTTAGATTTAAAGACAAACCAATTGTTTATTGCAATCAGACCTGAATTTTTGTCTCAAACTACCTTATTAGTTATCGACAATATGTCTACCTTATTAAACGTTTTGTATTAAAAAGGGCTGTATTTTTCTTGTATGAGGTTATCAAATCTTGATTGGCTAATCTGATTGTACTATCATATGGTTAGCTGTAGTGTAGTAATGCTCTTCATATCAAAATACAAACTGTAGTAGGATAGCGTCTGTAGCTATTCTCTTGTCACTTTAATTGATAAGAAATACTTCTCTATATTCGTCTTTTTTTCTAGCTGTCTAAACGCAAAATTTTGCTTTATATCCAATCTGCTAATTTCAAATCAACAATAAGATTCGAACCTGTCACAGTACGATTGAGTAGCAATGTAGTTCCTAAAAACTTGGATTTCTGGTGGTTTTACGACTCTCATTAGTTCAGAACAAAAATCAACAATGTAAAATGAGTTTTCTGAATCACTCCTGAATTGTTCGTTCTTAATCCAGGTATGTATATACATTCGATGATAATGAGGTAATATAGAGTGACTATTTAACTCAGTCAGTTTACTTTATTAGACTTATTTGTTAAATTCGACTCTATGTTTGCCTAAGAAAAGACCCAAGATGATACAAGTCGATTTTTTATAAGGATGAAAAACTGAAAGTTTGTGGAAATCCTTGAAGTTAAAGTTTTCAGTTTTATTTTGTGATTATCTTTTTTATTTGTACACTACATAATGCTCATCTACCAACTAAACACTCATATTCCAAAAGTCATCATTAGTACCTGTGGGTTTGTTTAGAAAATTTCTTGGTTCACTGAGCGAAATTATTTCTCCATAAGGCACTGTCTATCGACACTGAACGTTGTTATAAAATTTTAATCATAACCAATATATGTAGAATGATTTTTCGAATTCTTAATCAGTGATGTATTGATTGATCAAGAAACAATGTTTCGTCATTAGGTATGTCTTTAAGATATCCAAAAGTACTTCGATGAGTGTTGGAATTATAGGATACGTTAATTCGATTGCATAATAATCATTTAGCAACATTCTGGATATCCAAAGCCGAAATATATATACTTCAATACTATATATTGAAACACAAGAATATCTGTCATACGGTTAGTTTCGTGAATTTTTTTATCGTACTTCTTAATGATATGATGGGATTCTTATTCTCCGAAACAGGAAATATGTCAACATTACGTTTCCAGTAGTCCTACTTGTTTTCGTGATATGCTAATCATATCATATATGAGTGATAAACACAATCCATTGTTTATAGCAGATTATTTATCCTTAACACGATATGGGACCTTGGTAACAACTTAGTAACGCCTTATTGTATTTTTAAATATGTTATACTAGGATTGAATAGAAATCACATTTAGGTACAAGAATAAAATATGTACGCTAAAAATGTTAGAGTAAATGCAATGAATGGAATACAATAAGTGTGTATATATGGGACATCCGGAAATATTACAAAAATTAAGTTTTTAATGATATAGCGGCCATAAATTGTTTTAAACTATTTACTACTTAGTTGTAAATAAATTAATTTTGATAAATGTCACTGAACATATCTATAATGGTTACTATAACTTTTTCCATTAAGATTTTATAACTACCTATTAGAAGAGGAAAAAACTACAATAAACGAAGCAATATGAAATACCGACAGGTAAATTTTTGAAAATAATATCGTACACTATTTAATACTACTTTAATTACTAACGAAAATGAAAGAAGATTCATCTGAAAATTTAAAACAAACTTATTCAATGAGAAATTGAAGTTTAAAACTATATAGCAGAACAAGTCAACTTCCCATTAAATATGGATAATTAATGCAAGTAATACTGATTAAAGGCAAAAATTGAAATTATAAGTTACCTGCTTTCCGTTGACACGATGGAGATCTAATTGAGCAAAGATTTATTAAGAGGAGTACATAAAAACTCTTGTTCATCAAAATATCAGCACAATGAAGGAATGATTTATGAGGTATGGAAAACAGTTTTCATTCATTATTTATCTTTCTATTTATGCTTAACAATCACTAAATAATAAAGCCAATAAAAACAATTGTAAAGTAAAAAGCATGCTGGAAAAACGAATCGACTATAACTATCTATTTTCGACATTGACGCTGGTTTTTTAACGCGTTGTGGTTCATTTGTTGGTAAAAGGGCATCCTTTTGTGTTGTGTCTAAAGCTGTAAGTGCAGAATCATTGGTAACTAATTCGTAAAAAACACCCTTTGAAACTTTATCTGGTTTTCCGGACTTAATATTAGCCATTGACATTAAACCTGACTTTGTTAGGCGAACAGACATTTGAGGACTTGGTCTTTCTAGTACAGGGCTATTCTGAATGGCGAAAGCAGCAGCAGCTACCGAGTTGATGTATTCACTAACTTTCTCATTTGATCTGCTTGAAGCTGAGTATGCTGAGAGCGCAGATGGTCCCCTTTGTGCATATTGTAATTGGCAAGCAGAACACCACCTCGCTAGTTCACGTCTAACTAGCTTCCGAACTTCTACCTGCCATTCAGATACTTTTTGACGCCTAGCAAGATGAGAAGCGATCGCAAATTCAAGTAATACTCCAGAATTAAACGTTATGCATGCTATTGTCCAAATATCAATTGCTTTAATATACGACACCCTTGGAAGGGAACTTGCGTAACTGGTCGACTGAGTTATCACACCAAGTAACGTTAACAAACTTAAATTTACTCTGGCCGGAATCGCCTCTAAACTAACCAAAAGTTTAGCCATGAAACAACCATTATGAGAATATTCGGTATATAGGTACTTGCCAACCAGTAACCTAACTGCCGTTGTAGCGTAAAAGTAGCGTTTAAACATGTGTATTGTCCAGTTGATGTGGAGTATCCGCTTGTGCAATCATAAGCTCTGACCACTTCAGGTGGGTCAAACTCCGATATCTGCAGATTCTCTGGTAATGTGACAGGTGATATGTTTCTCCACACAAAGCTCACTTGCTCTAATGTATATCCATAACTTCCAATATTCATATCGCACTCCTGTGTATCCATAGGGAATGTCCGTAATTCCATCTGACAGGCCATTCGCATGGTGATCTTCTGACTGTACAATATTTCACCATTCGGTTGTATGCGTATTAGTAAGTTCTCACAAGTCATTTTATGTAATCGGCCTTCCTTACCATTTCGAAAGAACAAGTCTGGTAGCCATATTTTCTCTTTGAAAACTGGAGAAACAATGTTTTTTGTATAATGTTTGAATTTCTCAATTTGATCCCAAGCTAGTCTAGGATCATACCATGCTTGACGAAGTAACATATCAATAGTGTATTCCATATTACGTACATCCACAGATGTTATAGCTGATACAGATATATAAACTGTTACTACTGTTGTGTTACGAATAAGCTCTCCAGGGCGAACGTGACTCTGATAATTAGCGAATAATGTTTCCACAATTTCATCTCGAATTGAACTAGCATCTAAAACTGCACATTTGCTGTCGTAAAATATGTATAATGGGCATAATATGAAAAAGATTATTTGATGATTAAGAATATGCATTTGAAGATAATTATAAGAATTAAAATTAGTTCAGTCGAAAAGCTAATAAAGTTATGCTGCCTAAATATTTAGGCCATACAGCTCACATCAATTTTTGTTTTAGCCAGTTAAGACAGCCAATCGCTTTGATGACTACCTTTCGCTTTAAGTTGGCAAATCTAAACGATGATTTAATTTATAGCATTTTGATTGGTTCATGAAACTAGGCCAGTTAACAGTAACCTTCTCACCTGTATAGTAAAATCATTACAACCACCATTCTGACTAGCCTAGAAAATAAATCTGAAAAATATTTCAAGTTCAGTCTGTGGTACTTTTCAAATGAACATCAAAAATCATGGACAGATCTAGTTCATTGTGAAAATGACGCTTTCTCAATTCCAACTTGGGCATTTAGTTAGCCTACCAAAATAAATATCTATCGTTTTATCAATCATTATTTTTAAATACTTATTTTACTCTGAAGAAACCACTTTTTCCGTCAGTTTTTAAAAGAAAATCGTTATTTTGTTGCTTGAAATCACTTGACTAGTTGAAGGTGTTTCATAATCAGAGTATGTCTTTTGAGTTCAGCATCAGAGATACTTGGATTGCGTTTATCTGTGCTCTATATTGTCCATTCGATGGTACAAATGGATTTAATAATTAAAAGGAATTATTTTTATCAGAAGGGGTTTGTGGAGATTTTAGAAATTTCACAGATTGAAATCATGAGTCAGTTGAAGATAGACCACCATGGAAAACCTGGCAGCACTGGACGGCCGTCTCGTCCTAGTATGGGACTCCTCGGCAGTGCGCATCCACGATCACGCACCCCGCGTGATTCGAACCCAGGACCTACTGGTTCCCCGCGCGAGCACTTAACCATTAGACCATTTTTGTCATAATTCAAGAAAGATGAAAGATTCTAAGCATACAGTGCCAAGTTAATTATAAATGCATCTAGCATATAATTCTAAAGACTGTTATTAAAAAGAATGACTCGTTAATTTCACTATTTATGACACGAAAATATAGCTAGACCACTAGACTATCTGAACAAAAATACCTATTACCCTCGGTAATAGTAGTTTTACTTTTAAAGGAATTCGAAGTTTTTACGAAATCTAGACAACACTTATTCCAGTAAACTAAAACTAGATTTCTGAATTTCATCAACCTGATCGGTATTTGGAAAGGCTTAAATGTGGTCAGTAAATAACAGTTTCAGAGGAATACTAATAATTCATTGAAGAACGTATGGAATACGTTTTACTTCTCAACAATTAGTGATATTTGTGGGAGTGTGCTTAAATGACAAATTCTGTCGCTGCTGCATCTCACCAACGAACTGTTCTATTTTGTATGTATTTAGACTCTGTTCCCTTGTTTAGAGCATCCGTGAATGTCCATATGTTTTAATGAGCAGTATCAATGGGTTGGGTAAGGCCTCTATACTACCACTCTACCACACTGTTCACTTTAGGCATATATTCCCAAACTTAACCGTAAATATTCCACAGTATAACTTAGAAATAGGATGTCCGTGGCATCAACATCCTTTCGGTCTCTCAATCCGGACTTTTTTCAAAATGACTTATCAATACTTTGATTTTCTCTCCATTATTTACATAGAATTGTAACTCAGGTAGATGGTCAAATACAATTAAGACATCTGTAGCTCGTACAGAAGTTAATGCTGCTAACTGTCGGACTCCCAAAGCAAAATTTTCGTCTGTGGCTTAGAGTTTTCTGATCGATGTTGTTTCCACCATAAATAATTCCTCAAGTGGAACGAGCAATGTTCGTGAAATACATTCGGATATACTTGCCGAAATGTTAAAAAAGATAAAAATTCATTTCCATCCTGCCCAGTGTCATGCAGAAGGAAATCCTCCTTTCTTACAGTCGTCTTAGATTCAGAAGGCAGAGGTAATACATTCAATTAACCTGGATTTGATAAGGAGGGTCTGATGGTTATGTTTCACTGGGTTCATATCTGGAAGTTGTGCAGAAACTGCATTCGATAAACCGTCGGATAACCCTACCACTATTGGTTATATTGTTTCTAGTGATGGGGCTGCTTAACCATTTATTCTACTGATTTATTTCCTCCTATTTACTCTAGCTTTACCTGAAACGTGATTGCATTCCGTTAGCTGTTTTATATCAACATCATACTGCGTATAGCAGTGCAACCTACGTTTCGCCGTATAACTTGAGAATGCATCTCCAAATCTTTGTGTCGTTATCCATATTCACACTTTTCTGAAGATAGCTATTTACAATCGAAACTTCAGGGTTCCTGTGAATTTATGTGCTTTAGTCCCATTCAGATGAAGCAGATTAAACTATAACGTGGAATTTAGATTGTTGCCTTCTTATATAATTGCATCACTTTGAACTCTAATCAAATAATTTATTTGAAAATAAATAAGTACTAATTTGTTTTATACACAATCACTTTCACTACAATTAATTAGTAGTAGTTTATAAATAAATAAATAATATATTTGTAATATCTCAACGAGTAGAAAATTAGATTTTCTGACGTTTCGTGACTTAGTGTAAGTCACTTCTTCAGAGAATAAATAACCAAATTAATATTAATCCAAGTTTAATTAATTTGATTTTTTATTCTATGAAGAAGTGACTTACACTAGGTCACGAAACGTCAGAAAATCTAATTTTCTACTCGTTGAGATATTACAAATATATTATTTATAACAGTCTACCCAATGCTCAATTTATTCAAAAGTAGTAGTTTAGTTAACTATCTTTATTTTCCCCATCACTTGCAACTGTACCGACTACCTAATTAAATCATTTTATAACGAATTAATAGTTATTTTTCATCTACCCGCCTTTGTGAATCCCTTTTAATGCCCGCTATTGACTTATTATTTTAGTTCATTTAATATATTGATGGCATCATTTTATAATTTTATAAAGTTTCTCTTTAACGCTTGCCTTTTGGGACTCGCGTTAATAGAGATTGGGTTTCATATATACATGTCTTCCTGAGTGATCAAAAGCCATTGATTAAAGCATCTCCACAACTGATGTTTTGTGTAGTTGTGACAGACATTTCTGACAACAAATAGTAAAGCATTTATGATTTTAAATTTACACATTATCTTGTTTTATCAATAATCATATTTATAAACCTCGTATAAACAATTGTGGAATTCACGTTTAGTTTTATCACCAATCAAAGTGTACTGGAAACAATTTTGACAAATTAGGTTGTAATTGTCAAGGAAATGTTAATTTATTATATCTTACAGTCCACCAAAACTGTATTCACCCATTTACCATTGTGTATATATCTGCTTATATGGAGTTAAGTAGGTAGCTTGTTCACGAAGCAGTATTTGACAATACGTATTTTCTTTCACATCCCATTATTTTATTTTTTCTTGTTTTGATCGTCAAGTTATACGTGATCTTATTCTTTTTAACTCATTACACCCGAACTCGTCCCACTAAATTTTGCTGAGTTGATTCATTTTATGACTATTATTAATATTGTTATTACTATTATTACATCATATTAGGTTAATTGCCATTTATCATTTTCAGTAACCCTCCACCATTTGCCTAAATAAGGTCACATTAAAACTTTATATCTTGTCGCATGTCTTTGACATTTGGGCTCTTAGATCCCCATATTTTCGAGTTACATTTACTCACTCATTATTTTATACTACACAATAATATAAACTGTACTCCATGCATTCCATTCATTATGTTTGTGAATGTTCTGACAAATAAGATATGGTCATCACACTAATTATTTTATATACATAAATTGATAGTAGTCCTACTGTGGCTGAATTTCATAAGATACTAACAAAATAGTGATTGCTTTAAATGTTTTAGAAATGATTGCTCATTATAACCATATACACCATTTTTCACTGAAAGAAGGATTTAATGAATTGGCTTCGAATCATTTCTGTATACATTCTGTTTTGTTAAATTCAATGAAGTTTTGATTGCACAGCTTATGAAAATAAAGTCATCAACAAATTTTTTTTTTAATATGTACTTCATCTTTGACACAAGATTATGGAGTTATTAATTGTTTAATCCTAAAGAAGAATAAACAAATGATAACTGATAGGGATTATTTATGGACTGTTGTTACATATATTCTTATTGGATAACTACTAAGTAACTAGAGTATATACAAGTATTTACATTGTAAGCTTTCATTTGATCTATTGGCTAATATTGTACTATTTACTATTCTCAAGTTATTCGGGTGGTTTTAAACTCAACATTGTCACGTCAACCTAATGTATTGCAAATTGGAATAACGGTCATGTTTACATTCATGTAGTCATCTAATTTGTCATATGATGATGTATTTTTTGTGAAAAAAGCTAGGTTATGCTGTGAATTTTGTTCTGACTGTACTTTTCATTTGCCACATCCAACTGCGTTACGCCGGACATGCATTGCATGCTGGAATGATATCTTAAGTCATAGTAAGCCCAATCAAATCGTTGTGTTTTTTTTAAGTGGGCAGTCAATGAACAATGTTGTTGGAGAAAGGTTTGTTGTGCTGTAAACTATGTTTTTATACGTAAATGACTGTTGTCTTCAGTCTTACTGGATTATAGTTCGTGTTTTGTGTTTATAGGCTTAACTATCTACATTTAACTACTTTGAGTAACATGTCTGTGTAAATTACACAATAATTATGACAACTGCTTAGTTTAGTATTCTTGGTTATCGTATAATTGAGTTTAGTCGATATAATTATACTATTCTTAAGTGTAGTGCTTGGAACATGTAATAAACCAAATTAGTTTAATAAGTAGAGCTGCTCACTTATTTCCGTTTGAATGCCTAAGCGTCACAACTAGAAAACGATCAGTGTGAAATGATGTATGCATCATAACGTATATAGCTCCAGGAAGCTGAAGTTGAGAGCTTAGAATATGCTCAGAACAGGAGGAATCACGAGGGTGTTATATTAATGTATCATATCGTATTTCCACTAGCCCTAAGATATCACTAATTCATTTTGTTAATAAGTTACACGTAAGGTAATAGTTATATGGACCCATTGTAATAACTTAGCTTTTAATAAAAACGACATAGAAACTGAAGCGACTCCAATCTCAAATAAGTCTGTTTGCAAATAAAAAAAGTATGTTGGACTCTGTTGTTGTCATGTATTATAAGATAGTGTTCATTTTGAAAAAAGGTGATAAGTTTGTTTTGTGTTTATTTGTAGACTGTACGTCTAGCTCTGGCCATATTTCTACCACTAAGCAATTTCCCAAGCGTTAACATCTACAGCTGGACAGCTAAGTGTCTGCATTTTTTTACTTTCCTGCAAAACAGCAGTATACAGTCCTGGAGGAGGAGTGTTCTGTGTCTTAACAAAATGAAGCCCGTTGTGGACAAACATTAAAAATCTTTTTGACAACTGGGAATTTTATTTTATCAGACACTAATGTTATGACCTTGCGTCTCCCAATTATTTTGTTTTTGCCAAAATCCCCGTCGCCAATTGTTATGACCTGGGATGTCTGACTTTTCGATCACACGTCTTATCTACCAATCCGAATACGACTTATACGAATCTTCACACTAGGCCAACCAATGACGTCTAACCGGTGTGGGCAGTTTAGCGTCCTTATTGGTCCTATGTCCTACGAGCCCTTCCACTTGAGTCCAGAACAAGATACCAGCTTCCGAATCAGAGCAGATCGTTTAGTTCAGACATACCCGGTTTATATATCAATCACACAGACCGCAACGTACCATAAAATAGGAAATAATATTTGTACACAAATAAGCCCAAAAAGTGGCTGTGAATGTGGGAGGCAGTAGTTAATAAACTGAACATAACTTAAGAACCGTAAATCGTACAATAATAAATTATAGGTCAAAATAAAGCTTATCATAAAAGGAATATAAATATACAAAGTGTAATTGTTGAGTAGTTATACAATAAGAATATTTATAGAATATTAGTCCATGAATAGTCCTCGGAAGTTACCTGTAATTTAATCTCCACTCGGATATAACACCTCCCCCTTTTTTTTTTTGAAAATTCCAACTTTATTGCATATAGTGCATCTATGATTTCTAAACCGGCAAAATCTTGAGAAATGCCATGCACCACAATACCAACATTTAGTTGCAGGTTTAGGAGCTTTCGAGTGATATTTATGACTTTTGGTACTATTTTGTCTTTGACCTGTCTTGACAGCATGAACAGAATTTGAGGGCACAACACTTTTGGTTTCCAGCATAGCTGTATCTTGTTTTAGGTTTATTAATCGTTGACATTCAGTGGTGATAGTTTGTAACGTCATTTCATCATCATGTTCCATACGGGATAACAACTTCATGCGAAAGTCAGCATCAACAGGAGAGTTCAGACCAGAAATGAATAATAAGCATTTAAATTGATCACTGGTTAATACATTTAATTTAAATCGTTCTGCTTGTAAATTTACTCTTCCGGCGTACGTATTATAATCTTCATCAGCCTCTTTAGTCAGCTGTAGACAGTTATACCGGATACGGAATAAAGACGCCTGTTCACAAAACATTTTATTTAGGATGTTAACAGTTTCATCGAAATTAACTTCTCGCGGATGTTTAGGCAGAATATGGTTTTTATACTTTTGATGCTCATTAGGACCAAGTTTCTGTAATAGCAGCCGGACTTTCTTTGCATCATCCATAGTAGCAAATTCTACTCGAAAAATATCTTCTACTCTGCCGAACCATGCTTCAAAAGTGTGACCGCTGTCTGCATCAAATATAAATTCTGGAATTGGATTGAGATATGATTCTATACTTCTATAATCTGGATTACCTTGTTGAATAGATAGTTTACCCAAAAGTGCCTCCAATAGTTGTTGTTGCGAAGCTAACATTTGATGCTGCTGCTGTAATAATAACTGCAATTGTTCTGAAGAATCTGACATTTTTTTTTTAAAATAAAAATTTTACTGCTAATAATAATATTAATCCAAAAATCACCGGCAACTTATTACAGCTAATTTATTTCCAAAATCTGAGTCACCACTTGTATTATTATTATTTCTTTGTTGCCAAAATCCCCGTCGCCAATTGTTATGACCTTGCGTCTCCCAATTATTTTGTTTTTGCCAAAATCCCCGTCGCCAATTGTTATGACCTGGGATGTCTGACTTTTCGATCACACGTCTTATCTACCAATCCGAATACGACTTATACGAATCTTCACACTAGGCCAACCAATGACGTCTAACCGGTGTGGGCAGTTTAGCGTCCTTATTGGTCCTATGTCCTACGAGCCCTTCCACTTGAGTCCAGAACAAGATACCAGCTTCCGAATCAGAGCAGATCGTTTAGTTCAGACATACCCGGTTTATATATCAATCACACAGACCGCAACGTACCATAAAATAGGAAATAATATTTGTACACAAATAAGCCCAAAAAGTGGCTGTGAATGTGGGAGGCAGTAGTTAATAAACTGAACATAACTTAAGAACCGTAAATCGTACAATAATAAATTATAGGTCAAAATAAAGCTTATCATAAAAGGAATATAAATATACAAAGTGTAATTGTTGAGTAGTTATACAATAAGAATATTTATAGAATATTAGTCCATGAATAGTCCTCGGAAGTTACCTGTAATTTAATCTCCACTCGGATATAACAACTAACTCTACTTGTATATCTTCCCGTAAAATCAGACTCAGATGCAACAGAACACTAAATGGGAGGAAAATGATAAAAGCTGCATAATACGTTACTAAGCATATACTATGCTTTGCACAGGTTGTAGTAGCTGACCTAATCTTAAACTAATATTCATGAACGCAGGGTAAATCACAGTTGCGTAAATTCTTTGCTTAAAAACATGTAATCTGTTTATTTGCCTATTCCATATTTTTGACTAAAGCCATTATTATTTTTTCGTTTAGAATGCAACATGAGTGAACCCTCACTGATCTTACAAACTGCTTCGTCGTTACACCTATAGCCCTATGAAACTGTTTACGGAAGACTTAACTAACAACAGCTTCTCCAAAGCTTATTAAAAGTATTCTGAACGTTCACTTTAGCCTCACGACCACTCCCAATATTTATGAGTTTCTTCTTTCACTTTTCAATTTAAAAAATAACAAAGACCACAGCTTAACATTACCAATGCGAGTTTTAAATGGAAACCTAGTGTAAATGTTTGTTTGATATTCCATTGTTAATGGAACTATTCCTGAATAAGTTTGTAAATCTTTTACTATTTTGTTTTATCAGGTTAACCGTCGTAAGAAATTTATGAAACACGAGCTTCTCAGCACCTAGTTCATATGTAATAAATTTAAGTGACGTAGTACACATCTTCGTTATTTTCTTGGAAAACCTACAGACCAGGGCCTTCTTACAACCTATTCCAGCCACCATGACGTGTCACCGTAGTTGTTGGATGAATATGCATCACACATATCCTAACCATCCCTGTGTCTAATCTCATAGTTTCTTGCTCAAATGCCCTATGATAAACAAGCAATGCCTTTACCTACCTAATGGAACACTAGTAACATAAAAGTACTCTGTATGGTACCGTACATCGGTCTACGCGCTCGCTTAGCTTTTTAGTGAAAATACTACTACGGTCCTGTTAACCATGTCATGACCTCCCTTATCGCCATCAAAGCAAATAAGTTTGTATTTACTAAATGCAACGCTTCTATTTTTAAAAAGTTAGACATAACAGTTGAAAATGGGAGTAAAATGGCAATATGCAGCCGATGTTCGTACCGGTTAACACATTAGTTTGGCACAGTGCCAAGGTCAGATAAGTTGGTGTTCTAATTGGTGATTTAATCACGTGGTAATTGACAGAGAAAGAGTCATGACAATAATAAATAAATTTATATTTTTAATAGTTGAATTTATGAATCGATCTAAGCTAGACCACCATTGGAACCTAGAAGCAATAGATGGCCGTTTCGTCCTGGTACTGGAATCCTCAGCAGTGCGCATCAGAGACCACACACACAGTACTCAAACCCATTGCCTCAGTGGTTTATAGGTTGGGCGTTCGCTTTCGAAATCGAAGGTCCTGGTTTCGAGTCCCGCATGCAGGACCGTGGATTCGCACTGCTGAGGAGTCCAATACTAGATAATTTACCATCTTTCTGAACTTCAAACATTTTAGAGTAATTTTTAATTTGAAGTATTTGTTTAAAAGTTTTATTTACACCTGAATTAGTTTCTTATTACTAGGAGCTAAAGCGGACTGATTTGTTGACGAACACAAGTTTGCCAAATATATTTGCCAATGAACCGGTTATGCTAAAATTTTAGTTAATTTTCCACTTATCCAGTAGTCTAAAATTGCGGCTCGTTGTTATTATTTAATGTGATCTTTAAAAACATAGTTGCTATCATCATGAATAATAAACAATCCTATTTCTTTTTATCTCTTAAACTATGACTGTCTGTGATCCTTAAATACCAGACTGAAAACTTACAAACCGACCAATAAAAAAGATAGTTTACAGAAGGTAAAATGGTGAATGGCTTTAACTAAGATATATTTTAAAACGACTTGTGAAAAAGTATAATTTCTAAGACAGTACATGTGGTTACATCTATTTATTCTAAGAAAACGATAGACTACTATAATATGAAAATAGGCCTTGTTGGTTGTGATCTAGTATAATTCAAATGTGTATAATATAACAAACAACTGGATGAAGAACACAACTATCCGATTATTACACCAATTACTCTTATTCATACAGTATATTTTATTATTCCTAAGCGGAATCAAATTATTTATGTAGATAACAATTGTTAAGATAACTAGTAGCCAGGAGATCCAAGAAGTAAATGAATCAATGTTTTTCTGTTACACTTGGTATCTTTTAGTATTAGAGCCTAAGATGAGTTTTCATCCTTGAAACCGAAAACACGTTTTATAAACTATTTCAAAAACTACTAAATAATAGAATTTAACCTGACTTTTGACAGATTATTAATGCATTGATTCATTTACGATTCTTTTTCATATTTTATCCGAATAAATGATTTCAAAGTCAAGCACTTTCTTCGTTGCTTTTTCTTCTCAACACTTGACGTTGTTCGGTATGCTTTATTCCGTAAACTGTACTGAAGGATCTATCGCTTCAGGTATAGGCTAATCAGAGTACAGAATCACTGAGCTGTATAGCTTCTGCATAGTAGCCACATAATCATTATTGGTTTCGTTTTGATTTAAGGTTTAAATATGTGTGCCTGATGTGAACAGCGAAATAAAAAAGTCATTGCAACCAACGGAAGTTATTTTTGGGGTCATTGTTTCAGTGAATTCAAATTCTGTACAATAAAAACTTTTGATTTTATCCCTATTTTATTTTACAAACTATAAGATTTCGATCGTTGTTTGATTTACTATCATACCTTTTTCTGTTCCAAAGCTATTGTAATTTAAACGTAACCTTTGGTACTCTATTTTCCTACCCTAATGCCCAGTTTGGACACAAGAATACTATTGTAATTGTTTACTTGTTGTGGCCGCGTTATTCATCCATTTATTGATGTATCTTTTTAAACTAATCTGAGTCGGGAATAAATCGAGTATTGTTTCCGTTTGATCGTCCTCTCTCTCGCTTGTTAACCAACCACGTGAAAAAATAGTATTCGTCCCTTCCTGACTAAGGCTGTTAGTCTAAATTCAAGCTCATCCATTTCTAGCCTCAAGGTTAAACCAGCAAGCCTGTCGTGTCAGCGTATTACCCATTATCGAGAGAATTCTCTCCTGTATATTATTATTATTGTTTAGACAGATCGAGGACGAACAGTGCCTCTTGTACACATCAAACACATACCGCACATCGGTTTTTTAAATAAATATTGCAGTTGCTATGCCAACGATGTTACGCTTTACATTAGTTACACAATACTCATATGTTTTTATGTTCATAACTAACCAATCAATTCGTTGTTTAAGCTCCCACTACGTCAATCTGGTCTTATGTGTCTGTAGACTATCTCTGTTGCATGTGACCTACCAATTGAAGGACACCATTATCCTATTGTATTAATGTGAATCATAATTTTTATTCATTTTGATAAGACACTCAGCACCAGTTGATATGTTTGTGCGTCCCACTTAATGACTGTAATTCCTTTAATAATTGTATTAATCTAATCGTTTTTACGTTAAGAAACAGATAAAGTTTGAAGCCAAGTTGTCCTTGTTCTGATCATAGCTTTCAAATAGACTCCGGGGTCGCCAGTATCGCGTTTACAGTTCTAGTGGAATGTCTGTAAGATAAATTAAGTCCTAATTATACTCCAATGAATGAAAAACAAGAATTGTTTCAACCATAAGAACAGTTTTGTTTTATTTTTCACCTATTAGGTTGAAAGAACTTCAAAGAATAATGAGTATCACTTACCTTATCCCAAAACCGTTAAACCTTTAACTGATTTGGAAACTTGTAACTTGACTCTGTGTATTGCTTTTGGTTGTTTTTTTAAGCCATCTGAACTGAGGTATAGACTATCGATCAGAAATCTCCAACGAACTTTGTCTTGGACCCCTTCCCAGTTGTTCCCGAGTGCTTTTCATACTGGTCTATGATCAATGGATTTGTAGAATCATGCTTAGGCAGTTCCTTATGAATACGTGTAATCTCTTGGTGATGGTGGTGGCAATCGCTCACTCTTCAGCTCAGTACAATAGAACTATTTGCATATTAGTGTTAAAATTTCTGACTTTGGTCTTGAGGTACAGTTGTTTTGTGTTACAGATATTCTTTAATTGTAGAAACGTTGCCCTAACTTCGCCAATTTGTTTCTCGGTACTTGCATCAGATCGTGCTTTTATCAATGATGCTCCCCGAGTGCTTAAAGGTTTCCACCTCTTCCAGAGCTCCTTTATTAAGTGCAATTTCGTTGGTGTTCACCATCTTATTTTAAAGATACTCCTTTTTCTTTTAAGGGATGTTCAAGCTAAATTCTATGGAGGCCACTGCTACACTGACAGTCTTTGTTCGCATTTCTTGGATAATATCAGACCGACTGCTTTCAATTTATTATCATTACCCACCCACTTCCTAATGAGAATTTGTTTTATAACTTCATCACCTTGCTCTCATGAAATCTCCTGTTCAATAATATCTGTATTTATAAGAAAGTATTTTACCGATTACTATTTATGTTAATGTTAGTGTAAAGACCAGTAAATATTGTAACGGACATTTTGACAACGGTGGGCTCGAGTAATCGCGATATTGCTACTTCTAATTAACGCTTATTTTCTGTGGTGTTTTTATGAACGAATGATGCCCTTGTACTTCTCGACTTCTTGATCTCGAATTCCAAATGCTCATAATTATCACATTGACATCGCGATGAAGCCTGTGAAGGAACGATTGGACATTCTTTCAACTTCTGAAGCTTTTGAGGATTACTTGGAAAGTTTTGAAATCTGGACTATGACCAAACGAGGTGTT